GGAACCGAGCTGCGCGGCGGGCGTGGCAGCCCAGCTGCTGCTCTGGGCGGAGCTGGCCTCCGGGAGGGACGGGCCAGCCTACAGTAGGGGCCCTGCTGGGTGCTCTGATGCTTGGGAAGAAGTTCTGCTTCATCCCAGAAGTGAGCAGCTTTCTAAAGTGTGGGGTGGGCAAATGGCTTGAAGTGCAAGTTGCTCAGCCTCAAGGCCCTTTGGACTGGAAGCCTTGGAAAGGTGCCCAGAGGTGGTTGGTTCCCTGTGTGGGGAACCTGGCCTCGCCTAGGTCTCTCAACTTGTTGGTGTAAATGCACATCTACTGCACATCTCTGGGTGCTATTTCTGTTCACAAGAACGATGGGAGTGGGTGGTTGATTGCCTGGGAGGAGGAAACTTTTAAGAAGAGTTAAACCTAGAAATGGCTGTCAGAGAACACAGAGAGGGGCGTTGCGGGGAGTGAAAAAGCCAGAGAAGAGACTTGAGCAGGGCATTTTGCAGAAAAAAATCACCGCCCATTCAGTGGGCGTGGAGACAGGAACTACTGCTTCTGGGAACTGCGTGAGCTGCCAGAGCGAAGTGGGTACCTGCCCACAGCACCCATCAGAAAAACCCCAGGCTCCTTCCTTTCCAGATGGGTGTGGTTCTGAGGTTTGGTGTTCAAAGTTCAGGTGAGACAGAACTTCTGCATAACATGCGGTAACGGTAACTGGACACACACTGGATCTACCGAGAGAAGAGCAGAGTCCTAGTCCTCCTGCTGAGCGAATCTGAAGCCCAGGCATAGCATGGCCTCTCCAGGTGAGAAAGAACAGCTGCCTCCTACCAGGAGAGGTCTTTATGCTCTACAGCACCCAGCACCAATCAGGATGCCCTCACTGTCATCAATCTCAGTTCAATCACAGCTGCTTACTAGAAACCAGTTCTATCCTGTTGTCACCAGGCATTTAAATGAAAACCTAAACCACTCTTGTCTACAAAGGCCAGGAACTAAGACCTTGAATTTGCCTCCTTCCTTCCCCTTTTGTTTAAAACATACTATTGTGAATACAGAATGCAGGTAAGGACTGCCTGCTTGATAAAAGCCATTCTGAAACCAATTTCTGTTTCTATCATTCCACATTCTAGTCTTAAGAATTAGCCCTTTCCTTTGGAAAAACCTTCAGACTTCATCAGCTTTTGTTATCTGTCCTTGAAAACACCTTCTAACCCCCTTACCTGGGTCTGTACTTGAGAGTTGTTTGCCAATTCAGAAACAATCGAAATGTAAATCCCTAAGCAACCTCATTGCATGCATACAACAGAATGCCTCTCAGCGATAAAAAAGAATTACTGACACCTGCTGAAGGAAAATCGAAACCTTCAGACTTCATCAGCTTTTGTTATCTGTCCTTGAAAACACCTTCTAACCCCCTTACCTGGGTCTGTACTTGAGAGTTGTTTGCCAATTCAGAAACAATCGAAATGTAAATCCCTAAGCAACCTCATTGCATGCATACAACAGAATGCCTCTCAGCGATAAAAAAGAATTACTGACACCTGCTGAAGGAAAATCGGCCTGACAAATGACCAAACACACTAACTATCCACCCATCCAGCCTCTCCACACCAAGAGGGACAACATAGAGCCTTTAGCCTACTAGATATCTTGTTCCTTATCAGCCTTCTCGAAGACCTGCTTCTTCGCCAACCACTTTGCAAAAGATACCTAGTTCCTGTGTCAGAACTTACCATCTCTCCTTCCCAGATCCCAGGAAGGAACTTGACAACCACCTAAGAAGGCACAACCCCCCTTCTAGGATTCCAGGAAGGCACAACCCCCTTTCTGGGATTTTCTGGGCCCACCTATAAATCCAGTCCCAACACACAACCTCCATTCCCTAGGGAAGGTTGCTTGCCCCAGTAGTTAATAAAATTATCTGCATCTGTTGAGGACGGATTCAATTTCTACATCTTTATTCCCACGTCACCTTTTCATCCTGTACTGAATGTATTAGGAATTTAGAAATCAGAAATTAAAGATGAATATTAACTCTGTAAAATCTGAAACCAAACTGAACATTGCTGTGACACTGTGTGAAATAGATAAGTAGATAAGAAGCTAAGTTGTAACTCAGCAACCAAACAGAACCTATGTGAGTTGAGTGTCTGTGTGTTGGTGATAAGTGACCACAGGGTGTGAGCCATATCTCAAGAAAACACTGAAGTTACTGACGTAAGTCAGAAGGACTTCAGCCAGAAAAGAAATATATAAAATCTGGTAGCTAAAAAGATTCTTTTGATGCTTGGCCACACGAGACTCTGAATCCGTGGGCCTCATCCCGGCACATTGCCCAAAACCTGAGACCGCTACCTGAAGCTCTGCGCGAGACCAGACCGGAGCCTCGCCTGAGACCTGATCGAGGACCTCAGCCTGAGAGCCAGAGACTGACAGGAGCCTGCCACGACCAGAAGGGATCAGAACCTGCAAGAGACAGCTCCTCAGCCGGGAGAGTGCACCGATCATGGCGGACTAGAGAACCTCTCCACATGGAGTGCCTGAAGGCTTAACCTCTGGAAGGTACTCCAAGAGACTTTGGGACTCTTAACTGCTAGAGGACCGGGTTTCCCTTTGAGTGTTTGTATTGATGTGTGTTTGTTATGCTTTGACCTAGTAAACGCATAATGCAATCAAACAGTCGTGTGTGAGAATCTCTTCTGTCCGTTGCGCCTGTCCTAAGCTCTCCCGAGAAGCAGTGACACATTTTGGATGTCACACTCAAGCCAGTGGCTTGAGACACATTCAGGACAGTTACTATCAAGTGACTGCTCCCATTCAGGACAAAACCCCAAATTTAGCCTTTACTCAGCCCCAAAGTGTCGCACAGAAAGTCTGTATACCCCTCCACTGTCTGCTGGCCGGTTTGGGAAAGGCACACCCATCCTCCGCTCCTGGGCAGGGAAATAGACGTTGTGTTCGTACCTCTTTTCATAGACATATATTTCTAATTGAAGCAACTAAGCTTGCTTTTGTTACAGGCCTCCCTTCAAGAAATAAACTCTAAGACGTTCTTATATTATTTCTCAAAGGGGTCAAATAGGAAATAATAAGCCACTTTAAAATAATGCCTTACCAAATTCTTCTTCATATATAAATTAAGAATTTCTACAGGTTTAAAGAGCACACCCTCCTCCAGTCCTGATTAAAATTATCCTCTGAACGCCCCCCCCGCCCCCCACAAAGTGCGCGGGAATACGAAGCTGGCCGCTGCTGTCTGATTTAGATTCGGTCTAGAATTAAATGAAAGCAATATTCGTGAGTGACATACTTTGTCTTTCTTCTATTCTTCATTTCCAATCTAGTCGAAAATCACATCTATGCGTTCGGATGTCCCTTCTTTATCTTAATTAGAAAACTTTTCGCAAATGCAGCGGGAACCGCTAGATCAGTGAGCTTGGGGTTGCTTCCAGCGCTCGCGTTTCTCAACTCGCTGGAGAAATGTGCGGTTCTGGAGGCTGTGCGAGACCCCGAGGCTCCACTCTCCTCCCCTGCGCCTCCCGGAGCTGTAACCCGAATCTTTGTTTAGGTTTGGGTTGGAAGGCGAGAATTTAAAAAGACAAGGCAAACGCGGGAGAGCAGGTTTTTGTTGTTGTTGTTGTTGTTTGTTTTTTTTTTAAACAAAACAAAACAAGTCAACAGGCCGTCCACATTTCCCTCACCTTTAATACTGAACTGGAGTAAGTTAGCTTGTGCTGATAAAGATCTTAGTATGTAGAGAAGGCGGGTTTTCCTCAAGGAGGTGAGGCCTTTCCTCCAAGAAACTTTCCCCCACTCCCCCTCCTCCCTGGAAGGTTCCACCCTCTGGGAACCCCCCCCCCCCCTTTCGTGGACGGACAGAGCTCAGTGTGGCTGGGAAGGGAATCTTAAGAACAGTGGGGCGGAGAGCGGCTCCGGCCACCGGGGGCCTGGGGACGAAGACGCACCGGAGGCTGGTCTACCAGCGAAGTAGCGTTCCTCCGTGATGACTGCGCGGCTGGGAGGGGCACGCGGCCCACACCGCCGGCCTCTGACCCTCGGGAGCTGGGATGTGATAAGCAGCCCCTGCGGGGCCATGTATTGGAAGAGCGACCAGATGTTTGTGTGTAAACTGGAAGTGAAGGACGTGCCAGAGCTGGCGGTTCCCCACCAGAAGGTGAGCTGACCGGATGCGTTGGTTTCCTTGAAAAGCGGGTGGTTTGGCCTCCTAAATGAAGTTCAGGAACTACCTGTCACGACCTCATCTCCAGACCTGACTTTTTATTATTATTATTATTACGTAGTAGCGTTAGGATGTAATCATTGCTCCCCTCCCCATCGACTCTCTTAACCCGAGGCATGGGCACTGTAATTTGGGAGCCTGGAGCGTAAGAGCTCTTGGTCCTGGCCTTGTGAGTCCTGGGTTTGTTCTATTTAACGCGGAGGTCGAGGCGGTTCGGACAGGGGTCGGGAAGACCCGGCGCTAGTGGCGTGGGACCGGAGACGATCGCTGCGCGGCGCTGAGCTCTGGGGCTCTCCGGGCTAAGGTGCGCGTCCCGCCGCAGGGCCGGTGGCCACAGACGCAGGACTTGGGTCTCTGGACCTATCAGAAAAGCCTTTCTATGGGAAAGACCAAAGGAAGCAGCCTCTCCGTCTCCCGGGACACAGGACTGCCAAGTGGTCTTGGGCAGAACAGGGAACCTGGCAGGCTAGAGCCTGCTTCAGAGGCTTGACCCGTTGGCGGCTCACGTTTTCATCTTGAACCGGGTCCCCAGCCGCTTGGGGGAAGTCAGCAGGACCGGGAGGGCACTGCCGGCCGCGGATTTGCTGGAACCGTGGCGGGTGGAGTTTCTGTCCCGATGCTTGCGCCCTGGAGCAGCAGCGCTGGGGACACCCTGTGGCTCACCTGGGCTTTCAGAGGATGCACAAAAGAGACGACACCCAGAGGGGAGGCAGAAATGCAAGTGTGGGTCGCTAGCTCAAGGCTAGCAGCCCTAAGCTAGACTTCTCTTTGGAGAACTGAACTGAAACCTTGCAGCAAAAGCTAGGCACACGCGTGACGTGCCTGGGTGATTTAAAAACCTTCTGGCTGAGGTTGGGTGAGGTGGCGTGGCTTTTTGTTTTTTGGGTTTTTTTTGGGGGGGGTTTGTTTTAAATGGGACAAATTAAATTCAGCTGGATATTTCCATTATTCCACCCGCTTTCTGCGCTGGTTAAAAATAATCCTTTAGTAGCTGAAATGTTGACTTACCCAGCAATAAGTGGCAATTTACACCTCAAAGAAACCAGTGGAAATCGCTTAGGGCTCTAATTGCTCCAAGTTTACGAAAGAGCTGCTGGCTCGGTTTAATCTGAGCATTTTCATTCAAATTGTCGTCGGAACAAACACCAGTCTTCTTAAATCCCGCTGTAATTAGCTTTCAAGTATCCGATTAAACCTCTTCACCTTTCGAGCTATCCTATTCAAAAAGCCTCCCTTTTAAAAATGTGTTATTAAAGAAATCAAGTTTCTTCCCCCACCCCCGTCTGTCTTTTCTTCTCTTCCACCACACCTCCCCCCCGCCCCGCGCCCCCTTTAGCCCGGTATTCCCCGCTCCAGGGTGATTGACGTGTAGAAAGAAAACGCTTTGTGCGCGCAGGATTGTTATTAACTCGTTATCCCCGGCTGGGGGTCGTGGGGGGGAGCCGGCGTCCGGGGTGAGCTGCTGGGCCGGGAGCCGGGATCGCCACCCTGCGCGGGGGCAGCCAGCGAGCGCTCAGTGGCTGCGGCCGGTGGCGGGGGAGGCTGCGCTCTCGCGGTTCCCCAGCTGCGTCGGAGCTCAGGTGCCCGGGCCGCATGCGCCGCCTTGTGCCGGGCTTCAGGAGCTCGCAGGGCGGGTTCCGGCTCCGCGGCGCTGTGCCCACGCCGCGGCCCGCTGACCCGCGTCTTCCCGCCTTCCCTGCTGGTGCCGCTCAGTGCCCCGGGCTCATGTCGGAGGAGTGCGGGCGGCCTGCAGCCCTGGCGGCCCGGAGGACTCGCAAAAGCGCGGGGAAGAAGCACTGGTGAGTGGCGCCGGGGCCCGAGGTCCCGGAGCTCCTTCTTCGGTGCGGCCGGCGGGGTGGGATGCTCAGCTGTCCTGGTGGAGCGTGTGGCCGCCAGGCTCCAGGAGCCGTCAGGTCAGGCGACCTCTGGGAGCAAGGGCGGGGATGCCCTGGGGGTGGGGTGCCCTGGGGAGGGAGGGCAGGCCTTAGGGAGCCCTGGTGGGGAAGTGGGGTGCTAAGGAGAGGAGGGGTCTGGCCCGGCCAGCGCTCGGCTATTGCCCCCCCCCACCCCCGCAGGTGAATCCCAAGGGAGCAGGGGACGAGGACTCCTGCTCCTTTTCGGCCCCGCTGTCCCCATCGTCCTCGCCCCAGTCCATGGCCTCGGGCTCGGGCTGCCTGGCTGGCAAGTGCATGTGCAACAGTTGCGGCCTGGAGATCGTGGACAAATACCTTCTGAAGGTAGGGTGAAGGGGGGGGCGGGGAGCCCTGGGGAGTCAGCGCTGAGCCCCCCACCTCAACCAACCGACATTGTTTAGACTGAAAGCAAATTAGTCCAGTCTAGGATGTGGGAACAGTGTGATAAGAAATCCTAGAATCGTCCATGTTACAAAACTCGGTTATGAGTGACCCTGCGGTGGAAACGCTACGCGGGTTCCCCGGGTGCACGTGGAGGAATCGGTCCCTACTTGCAGGGAAAGGGACCTGGACAAGGGTCACCCTTCTGAAACTGTTACCATCTGCCTGACCTTTGTTTACCAAACCCTAGACGGTTTCTCAAAAATCTTTGCCACTTCCAAACTGACTGCGCCGTCCACCCCAAGAACCTCGGTGTTGCCCACTGCTTAGAGCAGTCCCAGCTCAGAATGTCAACGGACTCCTCTTCACAGAGGAATCTCCTTTAGTGACTAAACACATTGTAAAGTGCCTTAAAAGGTCTTTGGGGGGGGGTATTGCTATGGTCTTACATTTATTAACAGTTACCTGGAAATTTTCCAAAGCAAAAGTTCATAGAAGCATTTAAACCCCGCCCCCAAGTCTTGCTAGGCACAGAGCTGTTCTGCCAGTGCTTAGGGGATGGGGAATCAAAGATATATGTAAAGTTAAGTGCACGCCTGAGAGAGAGTCTCCCATGAAGTGTTTCACGTGGTGGTTTGAGAGTTGACTGTCTTAATTTGGTTTACTTTTCTAAAATATTGCGTGGGGATTTTGGAGTTGAAATTCTGGCAGGCTACAGTTACCCACGTCATCGCTTGCAGTATCTTGGTCCCATGTGTCTTAATCTGAATACATCGGTTTTTCAACTTCAATAGCTTTTACAAACCGCTATGTAAAATAATGGTTTCTCCCATACCAAATTAGTTGCAAACAGTCTACTTTCTACTCCCTCCCACCTCGCTTGAGGTTTTCAGAAGGATTAATTATGGAGAGTGTAAGTTCAAAAAGTGAATTACTGGGTTTCTTTAAGGTCATGTCAACATACAAAAGCTTTTTGTCCAAAAAAAAAAAAAAAAGGGAATGCGACTCTGTGTAGCCCAGATACAGCACCAGAAAGGGTTTAGGTGAAAAATGTTGCTGGTTGAGTTTCAAAGCTGGCAAATTAACCTGGCTTTCTCTTTAAATCTACATTCTTAAAACTCCATTTTCAATTTTCCTAAATTGGAGCCCTTTGAATATTGCAAAAGTCATCTGTTGGGTCAAAACTAGCTTTCTAATTTTCAACGAGTTCTTGGTAATCAGCACAACCATTAAGAATGCTTCTGAAATGGACTTAGGAAAACTTTAACCCTCTATAAAAGAGAAGATAGAGAAAAAAGCCACAAAGTCACATTCATCATCTTCTGAAAGTTTCAGGTGTTCATTTGTATAATTCTATACATTCCTTATGTTGTCTTTTTATATAAAATTTTATTACGTAAAATTTTTATCTAAGATAATTAAAGTTTTTCTTTGAAATTAGAGGTCCCCCCACAGAGGTTTTCTGCATCAGCCCTATTCTACCACTTCTTACATACACTAATAAATTAACAGCAAATTTTTATACTATATGATTATTTAGTAACCAAGTCCTCAACACCCCTAACCTGGGTCAAAGTACTGACTCTTCCTTATAATCTAGCATTTGCAGTTATGGAAAAACACCATCTTGTGAGGCAGTCAAATGGAATCAGGGCAGGAAAGGGCAGAGGGACTCGGTGGTCACCTGTAACTATTGAGGGGACAGCTGCCCTATCCTGCTGTCCAGGAGTTGTGTGGTCCTAGCCCTGTGTTGAGCCATGTTGGATTAATACTAGTTCAGGAAAAGGTTTCCAGAATTCTTCCCAAAATCTTCCCCACCTTACTTTACTCCCTAGCAAAGAGACAATATTAAGGAGCTTTTTTGTTTGTTTTTCTAAAGAAACTGAGGAAAATTGTCAGGCCAGGCATGGGGTCTGGCTTTTGTAGGCAGAGAGAGAAGGGCCAGGACTCTGTTTTAAAAGCCTTGCTTTAGAAAACAAAACAAAAACCTGGGTACAGTTGAAATAAGGTCCTAAGCACGGGAGTGGAATAGTACAGCAAGTCTGGGCTTTCCTTATTCAATTGGGTAAATCTTACAGAGAAATATGAGGAAAATATATCTTTACTTCCAGGTGGTTTTCACACCATTTTTAATCTGATTGTCTTCTGTTATTTCTTTGTTTCCTACAGTAACTATGTAGTTCTTTCAAAGAAAGACCAAAACTTCAAACTTGTAAAATTTTCATCAGAAATGAAACTTGCAATCTTTGGAAAGAGGCCCATAATAGAAAGCTTTTCCTTCAGTATCGAAGTGCCGTTCACATTTCTTAGCACACTGAAGCATGCTGACCAGTGCTTAGGACACAGCAGTGCCACTGAACAAATGTCTGTTAGGAAATAGTGCCACAAGAGCCAAATCTCACAGCAGTCCGCTTTCCTAACTCAGCCAGGGTGGGGAGGAGCCCGAGTTTGTGCACCTCTGTTGTTCTGTGTGGAAAGTCTTCCCAAATGTCCTCCTGTCTTCTGAGCAGGAGCACATTTCAGGAGCCACCTTGCAGGCCAGCTCAATCCAACACACCTTCATTTGGTGGCTAAGTGCTGTGGCAGGGCAACAACAGCTTAGTGACAGTAATTTTATTTGATTCTTGAATTGATAGTTCTTGTTTCTACTTAGAAGTTTAGAGTGCTGTGATTTGTTAAACACTGTCGTAGCTTACTACTTGAAGTATAAATAAAAATATTCATTGGGTGTCTTTTATAATCATCTGTAATCAGATTTTCCCATAGCCAGATCATTCAGTAGGTTTAGCAGGATGCTACTTCTTGGCATTCTTGTTTTTCTGTAACTATGCATGTTAAAAGGGGGGCAGGGAGGGTGGTCATGGCCTTGAGCTTCACCTTGGCAGTTTCCGGGTTGTAAGGGAAATGGACTGCGTACACTTTCTATTAGGCACTCTATATTAGACTATATTACAAGGATGCTTTTAATTTTCTTTGTTCTTATTAATGGGTGTACAGTTTATAATCATTTGACTAAAAAATAGATTGAGAAAGCCTGGATCTTAACTTCCTTAGCTATCAGGTTTTATGGTGGAAAGAATTTGGAAAAAGAAGAAAACAGAATCTGCATGTATGACTTTAAAGCGAGCAGTTGTCTCTCCATTCATTGATTTGCTCTTGAGAGAGAGTATGAAAGAAACCTGAATTCTGCCAAGGAATAAAGAAACAGGAAAATGTGGCCTGGGGGAGTGTTTTTCTAGAGGGATGGATACCCAGATGCATGTGTATGTAAATGGTGCTGTTTGGATGGAAGCATCCAGAATACTGAGTTGGGCTGTTATAGGGCTGGACTGGGGTTCTGGGAGTGACTGCTGACCCACTTCACAACCTGTGCTGGCATGTCTGCTGTCTGTCCTGTAGTGTCTGCAGAACCTCTAAAGATAAAGACATTTTCTGCAAACTTGATTACGTCAGGTACATTGGAAAGCTTCTCACTTCAGTGTAGACACCTCAAGAAGAATACTAAATGAATTTTTTCTTCTTAATCAACATACAAATTGAATTTTGTAACAGACTTTTTGTGTCCAGTTTGATTTATTCAAGGCCAATTATTTTATAATAGACTTTAAAATATTTTGTTTTGGGTTTTGAGACAGGGGCTTACCCAGGGTGGCCTTGAACTCGTGATCCTCTTGCTTCAGCCTCTCAAATGCAGAGATTAGAGGCTCCAGGCACCATCCTGAGCTTTCAAAGTATTTTTGAGGTATAGTTTGTATTAAAACAAAGTAAGTGCTATCTAGTGGATTAGATAATCAAACAAGATTATCTAATCCACTAGATAGCTTCATTTTAGGCCATACTTCACTCTAGAGGACGAAAACTGGGGGTGCTGAAAACAGGGACTTGTTGGCTCTATCTGGATACAAAGTACGAACTCAGCATGGTAGCAGGGCCCCTTGTTTGAGGTTGGAGGTAACTCAATAAACGCATTACAGAGAATTGCTCCCAAGTCATAGACCTCCAAGATGCCAGGGTGTTTCAACACTGAAATCAGCTACAGTATTTAGAAGAACAAACTGCCCCAGAATTACAAATGCACAAAATGGAGTTATTCTGCTCCAATTTGGTCTGTTCTTTGGTTGTTAGCATTTGGAACTATATTTATACAAGATATTCATCGTACCAATACTTTCCCTCTGTGATTTCTCTCTAATTGTTTAAGTGTCAGGTTTCTTCCAGGACATAATTCTTTGTGGACAGCTGTCTAGAAAGTGTGAGCATGATTTTGAACATGACGTATTTCTTCCTTATTTGCATTTCCAAATGAGAAACGAAAGTTCATTTTGAAATTCTGCATAGCAAATTTTGTAACACTAATTACATTGTTGATCCTGTTTCAAAAAGTGATTTGAGAGCTTAGCAATGAATTTGGATAAAATTCATAGGCAATATAAAGCACTTTGTAATAGCCAAAGTCCTTTTATAAAATCCATAGTCATTTTATGAAATCACAGAATTTTGTAATTTCAGAATGTTACTTTTATAACTATCAAAAATGTCACAGATTCAACCCCATGTTCTCAATACTAGTTTACTTTCGTTTATAATATTAATAGTAAACAAAAGCAGTTTGAAATTTTTAATGTTTGAAACATTTATTAAAAATTTAGTTCTAAGCTGGGTGTGATGGCACAGGACTTTAAACCCAGCACTTGGGAGGCAGAGGCAGAAGGATCTGGCTTGGTCTACACAGTGAGTTCTAGGCCAGCTGGGGCTATAGGGAGATCCTGTCTCAAAAAAACCAACCAAACAAAAAATCTAATTCTTTAGGATTTTTCATATTTATGTTCTGGAGTGTATTTCTAGAATTCAGTGCTTTAAATAAATTTGTAATGTTTTTAAAGATAGCCATGGATTCAACATAGATACACATGCTAATCTCCGGTGAGTGAGACTTGCAGAGCCACAGTAGTGATTGTGGTAGGAGAACAAACAGGGCATCTAGTCACTCAAATTGGAATGGGAGAAAAAAAGAAATATTTACCTTTTGCTCAGTCATCTTGCTAAGATTGACTTACTATTAGCATCTAGAGATGTTTCTGGAACTTTTAGGTGTCGTTTCCACGCTCCTGTGGGTGGCAATGTGATAATTTTTCTGAGTTTTTCTTCATCTCAGGGTGGAGAATGTAGTTTCTATGCATTCTTCGATCATTTCCCATTTAAATATTTTCACATTATGTCTTTTTAGTCATCTCAACTTAGGTTTGTGTTTATTCTGTTTCTGGTGCTAGGGATTGAACCCAAGGCCATGCATGCACTGCACCACTGAGCTACATACACCCCAGTCCCTCAGCTAGGTTTTAAGAAGTCAATATTTACATGTAGGGTTGATACACTTATGCCCGTTTAGGTTGTCAACCTGGAGAGAGAGAGAGAGAGAGAGAGAGAGAGAGAGAGAGAGAGAGGTGCTGGGGGGACAAGAACAAATCTGGGGCGTTTAATCTATAAATGTGTTAATTTGACACAGTAAGAGGGATGTTGAAGCTCCAGTTTTACTTATTGTAAAAGAAAATCTAATCGTCCTTCCCAGTACCACTGAGGTTTTATTTTTAAAGCAGATTTGGACTGTGACCCTATCTCAATTGCTTACCAAATTTACTGTCAGAAGAACTAATTCCTGTTTCACTTTCAAAATACTGACTCAGATTACTCAGTGAAGCTTGATAATACATAGTTTGAGGGTAGACTGATAAATGCCTCACCAAGTATTCTTCGCCTCTGCCTCCCGTGCACTGTAGAAGGTATGGAACGCGCTGTTCTCGGTGTAGGCGGCATATCCACTCTACTGACTGGGTCCGCAGGGCCAAAAGCAACGTCTATCACCTGGCGTGCTTTGCATGCTTTTCTTGCAAAAGGCAACTTTCCACAGGAGAGGAGTTTGCACTGGTGGAAGAAAAAGTCCTCTGCAGAGTGCATTTTGACTGCATGCTGGATAGTTTGAAAAGAGAAGTGGAGAATGGTAAGTGTGCACTCAAAACATTGTTGGGTCATTCCAGACAGGAAAGAGAAACGTTGTTTTCTCAAGACCATTCTAATATATTATTTTGTACAAGTTATTACTGTGGGAAAATTCATAAAGCATTCTAATACTAGCAAAAGTCTCCATCTGTTGGTTTTCAGGGAACGGTGCAGTGGATATGTTAGCTCATGCCCAATTCTGAGGCAGAAGCCTGGAGTTGGGGTGTGGCTTTTATTTCTGTGTATCTGCCTGCCTGCCTGGCTAAGAATGGGCCTTGGATGTATACTTTTAACTTTTTGAACTTGTGGCTAGGTGCACAAAACTGTAAATACTATTTCTACAGTATATTTCCAACACGCCATAGGAGTAAAGTAATTCAGAAGATATATGTGATTTACAAGATAGATGTATATTTATACCAAGCCAAGAGGTGTAAAGAAACAAGTATTGCAGGGTTGTGGACCCATTTGAGTCACCAGCTATGTGGTTTGCTTTTAAAATGCAGGTAGTGGGATTAGTATGGAAGGAGCCCTCCTCACAGAACAAGATGTCAGTCATCCAAAACCAGCCAAAAGAGCTCAGACTAGCTTCACAGCCAACCAGCTCCAGGTAGGCATGACAGTGAATTTGTGATTTTCGAAGCCCCTCTCCAACAAAAACAAACCCAAAGCAAAGCAGAAAAGCAATTTCAGTGCTGCTCTGAGGTTGTTCTCTGCTTTTTTTTTTTTTCCATGTACGAGTGCATTGCCTGCATGGATGTGAGTGCACCTGTGTCATGCAATGCCACGGAGGTCAGAAGAGGGCTTCGGATTCCCCTGGAACTGGAGTTAAGGACGGTTCGCAGCCGCCATGTGGTTGCTGGGAATTGAACCCTGGTCCTCTGCAAGAGCACTCAGTGCTCTTAACCGCTGACCCATCTTTTTAAAAAGCCTAACTTGATGAGTTGTGTGAACACAGTTACTGCCTTAAAAAGTTTACTTGTGATTCCAGCATCATGGTTCTAGTCATGTTAGCTTTGTTTCCTTAAGCTCTTTTGGTGTTGACATCAAACTGGAGCACACTGTTGATCTCTCCTACCTTCCTGATCGCTGCAGACAAGAGCATTTTTATTATCACATGTAACTACCACAGAGCTGTATGGGGACTCCACTGAGAGGCAGCACATGGGCCTGTGGGACTCAATGTACTGGTCTTTAGATCAACTACAGGAGCTCTGTAATGGACGAGACTGCATGGATTTTGAGCAGGAAAGCATGGCATCTGCCAAATATAAATAGGAATCTACTGGTTGGCTTCAATCAAGTTACTAGTCCCTCTTCTGTCTTTAAAGAGATAGACAGTAACTCTAGTGTTCGATGCCAAAGGTTGCTTCTGCCCTGAAAATTGAATGACCGCCTTCACCATGGCTGTCTTAGATGTTCTCGCCATCAGTCTGATTTGTGCTAATTGTCAAGAAAAAGAATGGCTCCTTGCTTTATATTTTAGTCTACCCGCATAATGATTCTTTATGGCACTTATTCAGATAGATCACATTTTCTAAAAGGTTACTGTGGCCAAGGTACTTGTTTTATGCTGAAATAAAGTGGATTTATTGTGCCACTTCCATGTAACACCAGGTGCATTGAATGTCCTATCAACTGTAGCTCAGGACCGAAGACATTTCTGTCATGTTAACGAATGAAAACAACATTTTGAAAAATCACTTGTATTCCAAACTGGTCAGCATTTAAGACTGCTACCATAAAAATATTTCAAGAGTATTTTAAAGAATGATTAATGGGCTGGAGAGAGATGGCTCATCAGTTAAGAGTATTGGCTGCTCTTGCAGAGGACCTGGGCTCAATTCTCAGCACCTACACAGTGGGTAACAACTGTCCATAACACAGGTTCTAGGGGATCCAGTTCCAGGTGATCTGACGCTGTCTTTTGATCTTTGCAGGCATTCCACGACATGAGTGCACTTATAAACATGCAGGCAATACACTCATACATATACAATAGAATGATAATTTTTTTTAATTAGAATGATTAGAAGGGCAGCCTGGATGTGACCAGCTTTCCAAGAGAATCTAAATCCCTTATGAAAAATAAAAATGATAATTTCCTGGGATTTCTTAGGCATAAAGCATGCTGCCAGTAAGTAACTAATGAAAAGGCAACAGAAAGAACTGTGTGTGCCCTGTCAATCCGATGCTTTGCTGGGGTGTGGGAGAGATCACACATGCCCTGAAGTTGAGGTGAATTCTTATTGGAGCTTTCAAGAACACCCATTTGCTAGAAGGTGTCTGGGTTAAAACAGAATCTCTAATAGAAATGTATCTTGTTGTTTTGAGACAGGGTCTCCCTATAGCCCCACTTGGCCTGGAACTTGCTACATAGACCAGGTTGGCCTCAATCTCACAGAGATCCACCTGCTTCTGCTGAGTGCTGAGATTAAAGGTGTGTGCCACCAGGCCTGGAATTTATCAGTTTTTAAAGGGACCTGCTCCCATGCCTGTGCCTTTGATTTATGACTTTGATGTAAAAATTTGCTAGTAAAATTATAATTGTGACACTTTGAAGGAATGGTAGGTAGATGCACAATACCTGGTAGGAAGATAATTATAGAAAAGAAAGTGGAGTATCTGTGGAGGTCTTTGCAGGCCAAGCCCTGTGCCAGGCGCCTTATCCATGTTACTTTCAATTCCTTATGCACCCAATAATTCCTCAATGTGTATACCTCTCTTAGAGGTATACGAACATCCTTCAAGGCACCCTGTCCAGGGAGATGGCAGAGAAAAGACTGGGTCGCAACTGACTTCTCCAACCTCTGTGCTTTCCACATGGTTTGTCCTCTCAGAAGGCCCCGGCTAGAAATCTGCCATAGCAGAACCCTACTCTATAAGCAGCTGTAAAACAGGGGACTAAAATTTGGAGTCTGTGGTCAGGCTTCCTATTCTAAACTGCAGAACTTCACAAAATATTTCAGTCACGTATCACTATGCAAAAGTATGATCGGAGTCATAAGTTGTAAAAACATTTACCAGAGTCAGGTTTTAAACACCGAAAGCATGTATTAGATGTGCTGTCAAAGCTCGGCCCATTTACCCAGTATTCATTAGCATTGCTCTCAGGTCAGGGATGGCTGAAAAGAGATAGAATTCTCAGTGGTTCTTTTCAGAGGGATCCAGGATAGCTGTTGATTTAAAGAGGAAAAAGCAACCTGAACCAGATTGTTCCGGGTTCTGTAATAAATCAGCTGATAGACTCTCATTGTCAAATTATCCCACATGTCACATATATGTGAAAATATATTCAAATATGGAGGGAATTTAACAAAATAATAAAATAATCATCTACAAATAGCAAGTCAAGATGGTCCATGCAGTATTTGCTTGGCTAGAGGAGTGTTAAGAAGGGATGAATAAGTAAGTTCCTGAAATTGTATCTTAGACATGGCAAGAAGTTTCAGATTCAGGGGCGTATGTCTACAGATATCTCAACTATGGCCCCACAGATAAGACTGGTTCTTAAGAAGTTCCAGTGTACACCATGGCTCACTTATAATAACCAGCAGTTGGTATTAAACAAGTCGAGGCTGGCTCCTGCTTACATCTGTTCTCAGGTTAAACTGCCCAGCTGTTACTGCATGCACTCCTGACTTTTCTTGTAGCCCTCTTGGTCTTAAATGATGACACCCATAGACCTGCTTTGACCACATCTGGAGAGCCTGGGGAAGGAGTGGAGTATATCTCAGCAATACTAACATCTGGAGAATAATGAAAAACTACATAGAAACTTAAAAGGTCTTCTTTTCCTTCATTTTTTGTGAGACCAAATATTGGCATTATTGAAAGCAAGACCAGTGGATATGTCCTTGTCTTTAGAACATTCTAGTTCTAAATGGCCAGTGTGGGTTTAATTTTGTTTCATTTCTTGATGAGAAATGGCTTTGCTAAATGTACATTGATTCTTTTATTAAACTTGTAAATTTGGAGTGTACCTATGAAAGGAGTGCTGCTGGTTTTGTTGTTTTGTTTTTAAGCCAGATTATTAATAGCCTTATAAGCAAATTCCCAAGTATTGGTTCTTTTCTATGAAAAATTAAAAGCATAATTTGTTTACTCATTATTCCTGTCTTTGGGACACTATGTGCTCAGCCACATGTAAGAACACACCTTCCTTCCTGTAGGGAGAGGGGGAAGAACTGCATTTGGAAAAGGGAAGGAAAGATGAAGAGATTAGAGATGTTTAGTCCATTTTGCCAAGTTTTAAAATTTTTAAAAATCATTTTCCACTTATAGTGAGTATATAGATATGATACAGTTGGGTGGGAAGCAGGAAAGCTTGATTCTAGAAATATCCCTAACCAGGGGCTCTTAACCAAAAGTGTTATTTGTAAACTTCGCAAGGGTTCTGGACCCACACTGGACTTTTTCTCCACGCTCTCCAGATTTTCCTCACATTGTCAGGGCCACCAACTGCGCAGCATGTACAGGCAGGAGTTTAACTCTGGGAAAATGCCAGGTGAAGCTTTCCTCTTGGCCACCATTCATCCGACGACTCTATTTGTACATCTTTATTTGATGCACACAGCAGCCCTAAGACCCTCGGACTAAGAAACCACTGTGAACTTCTAGCCTAAATCTAGTTCCAAAGTCAGTGTACTATCCTCTCCTCACATCCCTTCTTTCCCTCTAATTTTGTTCTCTCTCTCTCTCTCTCTCTCTCTCTCTCTCTCTCTCTCCCTCTCCCCCTCTCCCCTTCTCCCCCCTCCATGTTGGGGGGGGTAGAGTCAGGAGAGGGCTGGATAGAGAGCTACAGATTGATTGTGGTGACCAGAAAAGAGAAGTGACTTTTTTTTAAACAGAAACTTAACTGAGAGTGTGGGCCTATAATTCATTCCAGAATATTTTTTACTATTTGCACAATGATGGCCGTCACTGGCAACTTAGAGACTGTAACAGAGAAGAGGAGAGAAGTTTGGTATTCTTGGTACTGATGTCCAAAGAAAGCTTGGCTGACACTTGGGAGGGAGGTCAGATCCCCTGCACCTGTGCTGGCCATTCAGTCAGTGCTGGTGGTGAGTAGACATGCAAAACCGTATTTAAGGAGTGAATGGGGGCATGAGCAAACAGGTCTAATGTCTTGACATTGGATAGATTCCTTTACAAATTCTGGTAGAAAAAGTGGAGGAGGGACCTGAGCGGGAGAGAGGATAGGGTCAGAGGTGCTGTCTGACTAGAGCAAAAAGACACCCAGATGAAGAAAAGAGGCACTTTGGGGAGGAGGTGGCTTCCTGTGTCAAGATAGTAGAGAGACCTCAGGGGTAAGGAACACTATTTTAAAGAATTGAGTTTCTAAAAAGTTGAAGGCACTAATCATAATCAACAACATCAAAAATTGTCCAAAGTGTGTATAAATTCTTTTTTTTTGTACAACTAACACATGTTTTTGCAGCTGTGTGGTTGATCCTGGTAGGTTTATTCTTCAGGAAGGGGAAGCATTTTGGGTGAACATATCATCCCTGCAGCTGGAAGCACCCTAAGAATGTTGCAGCTTCTCCAAAGATGGGGCTCCCAGTGCCTGGGGTGGCTGCAATGTGCAAGGCCCTCTCCAGAGGCGAGCCCTCTGCACTGCTCAAATGTTTGAAACATTGTACTTACTTTTAGAAAGAAACTAAGGAGGAGCCCGTTCAAAAAGAACTGGTTCTTTAAAGGAAGGGACACAAGGTCTTAAGAGAGCTAGAAGTCTTGTTATAGTGAAGACAACAGGAATGTGAGACTGGCCAGGGAGGGAATAGTCTATACAGAGCAGGTTCCTTTAAATGTATGTGCAACGTTGTCCTGTGAAGGAATGGGTAAGCGCTGGTTTAGTTGCTCATGAACTTCCCTCATGAAGGCTACAGCCATGGTGTGTTGTCATTGGTGGTAGTGACATTTCCTTTGTGGATAGTTCAGACTCTGTGGCCTGGAGGATTCCTTCTCATTTAGGACTCTATGCAAAGGTGAGTTCAAGAAATCCACAGATCTGCTTTTGTGGCACTTAGAGAATATATTTCTGGATTGGGGCTTTTAATTTCTATAGACTGAATGTTAGATTTAAAAAAAAGATTTCTTTTTGATTATGTATATGTGGGGGGGTACATGCATGTGAACACAGATGCCCGTGGGGGTCAGAGGCATCAGATTTCCTGGAGTTGGAGTTACAGGCAGTTGTGAGCTGCCCAGTATAGGTGCTGGAGACCAAACTCTGGTCCTCTGCAAGAGCAGCGCATCCTCTTAGCTACTGAGCAACCTCTCCAGCCCCTGAACCACAGGCATTTCTGATAATGTAGCAAAGGAAGGAGTGTGAGCATTCAACTTATAGGTATGTGTGTGTGTGTGTGTGTGCGCATGTGCATGTGTGTGCACACACGCACATACCTACATGTAATCTACATATATCCCCCTTCATAGCATTTTTGAAGATGGAATTACTGGACTTTCAAATGGCAATCACAGTCCCGTCCCTCCCCAGCCTTGTTCTTTAGAAAGGATAAAGGAAAGGTTTACTTTATTTCATTTTTGTGTTTTTTTGTTTTTTTTTTTTTTTTGAGACAGAGAGTAGCTGCATAGTCCAAGCTGGCTTCAAACCAGCCGTGCAGTGCAGCCTGGCCTCATTTTTCTGAGTGCTGGGATTATAGGCATCTGCACCATGCTAGGCTTAAAGAGAAGTTTTATGATCAGGCCACTATGTTATGTAAACTAGCCACCCAGAGGTTTGGTGGAAACAGAGATCTGGCACGGGGAGCGTCAACCTCACCAGCAACAGCTGTGCTCTGTGAGGTCCTGTAACATCAGATGATGTTTGTGCTGAAGTCTGTGAATGAAGGGGGTGATCCTAACTTTCAGACAGCATCCAGAACCAGTCACTGCTCACATTCCCCTTCATATAAATTATAAGTGGTCTGTCTTATAGAAACAGGAAAACATTGCTACTTCACTAATTAGCATATTAAAACCACCCTTCCAAGCTAAGCACTATTCTACTCTATTGCTGCCTGTAGTGAGTATGAAATAATTTATTTAATTTCTAATTTTTCATGATCATAAAACTGTTGCCATAAGGAACATTGGTTATCTGTCCTATACTCTGATGCAATAGTTTCCTTAAGATGACTGTCTGGAAATTAGATTGTTGAATCAGAAGATAGAACGTTTTAAAATATATTTTATTTTTATTTTTATGTGCATGAGTGTATTACCTGCACGTATGTAAGTGCACCCATGTGGTGCAATGCCTGTGGAAGTCAGAAGAGGATGTTGAATTTCTCTGGAACCTGAGTTATGGATGGTTGTTAGCCACCATGTGGGTGCTGGGACTCAAACCTGGTTCCTCTGCAAGAGCAACCAGTGCTCTTAACCACTGAACCATCTCTCCAGCCCCAAGACAGAACATCTTTAGGGCCTTTATGCAAAAATTGCCTCCCAGGAAGTTCATACCAATTTGTTCTACCAAGAACGACATACAAGGTTCCTTCTCCCCATCTCGTCAGAACCCAGGAGGCTTCAGCCTCTTACACCCCTGCCAACTTGATAGGAAAGAAAATCTCAATTTTATTTCTACTTATTTTAACCAAGAAATATGAACATACTTATTTTTATCATTTTAAAACTGTATGTTTTATCCCACTTTTAAAAAGATTTTTTTTTCTTTTAGTGTATGAGTGTTTTGCATGCATGTATGTGTACCACATGCATGCAGTAGCCCATGGAGACCAGAAGAGGGCATTAGATTCCCTAAAACTGAAGTTACAGCAGGTTGTTCTCAAACATG